TCAACTTCCCCCACCTGGTGCAGCCAAGGCTGAGAACAAGTGCTCTGAAGTGTAACGCTCTCCCTCTGGAACTTGGGACAGATGCTGAGAAAATATACATAGTCAAAGTGGAAAAGCTCCTGATGAGAATACCTCTAATTTCATCATCGATCTTACCCCCGTTTTTATAGTAAAAATCTAATATATAGTTTCCGCTCACTACTAATCTTCGATTTGTCTTGATCCTTCTCCAACTTTGTCAAAACCAATTTAGATGCTACAGGAATCTCCCCATTATCTGGTACCCACAGGGTGATAGGCTAAATGTGCATTCTGGTTGCTTGAGAGTTACTATTAAAAATAGGCCTAATTCCCTACCCCAAACTATACCATATCATACCACAAACTCTTTTTTCACTTGATATGAATATTGAAATACACTAATTAAAAGCAAACTCACTTCACTTGTTATAACACAGTTTTACTATATCGTACCAATGAGTGTACGGAATGCACGCACCAATGTGTACACAGAAATAAAGTCTCATAGCATTAAGCAGCTATAATCTACATACCTGGGAATAGGATACCAAGCTTGTAGGATTACAAGTCCTAGCATACCATATCACAGTACTGTATAAGCCAGGCGTCCTCAAACTACAGCCCGTGGACCACATGGGCCCCCCCCTCCCCCAGGACATTTATCTGGCTCGCCGGATGTTTTTGCTGCCACTGCTGCCTATCCTTTTAAACTATAGTCCACCCCTCCAATGGTCTGAGGGACAGTGAACTGGCCCCCTGTTTAAAAAGTCTGAGGATCCCTAGTATAAGCAGTTCAATAACATACTCCATTATTTAACTCTGTGTCAACAGAGGCACAGTAGTAATGTGGTTGAGTGTATGCCGTATGACCAATTGGAAATGCACTTGTAGCCAGATAAATATACTCGTACTGAACAATCAGAATGTCCCACAAAAAGCAGAGGGCAGTATACCGGCAGCAGTAGAAAGAAAGTCCATACCCAATTGGGACTAGCTAGGAAAGCAGTAGAGGTCCTAAACATGGGTGCTTCAGGGTGCTGAGAACTCATGGGAGCCGTGGGAGGGATTGAGTGAGTGTTGGGTTACTGACAGCACAAGGCACCAAGTTTATTTATTTATTTATTTTGAGACAGAGCCTCAAGCTGTTGCCCTGGGTAGAGTGCTGTGGCATCACAGCTCATAGCAACCTCCAACTCCTGGGCTCAAGTGATTCTCCTGCCTCTGCCTCTCAAGTAGCTGGGACCACAGGCACCTGCCACAATGCCCGGCTATTTTTTGGTTGCAGCCATCATTGTTGTTCAGCGGGCCCGGGCTGGATTCGAACCCACCAGGTCAGATGTAAGTGGCTGGCACCTAAACTCTCATTTTTGTTTTGGCCAGGTTGTGTGCCTGTTGCTTGACAGTGCCAATTGCGAGTTCGAAATAACAGGCAGTTTACTATATTACATGAGCTTTAATCCATGTGGTTAAATTGCATTATAGGTGCTAGTCCTGGCCTCCCATCTGTACCCCTGCCAAATGAATCTGCCACAGCTGAGGAGAGGCTGTTGGTTCAGGGAGCTACTTGTAGCAGCTGCCTCCCTGTGCTCTTAGCTACTGCTATTTTTGGCAAGGGTGGACAATTGGGAGTGACCCTGTTTGTTCATTTACTCATTCTTTTTTTTTTTAAACATGTTAATGAAGTGCCTACTATGAGCAGGGAATAAATTGGTGAGCACTGTCCTTATTCTAGAGTTGCCAATCTAGCAAGGAGGACACACAGTAGCAGTACAGTGGGGTATATGCTTTGTTATGGGCAAACAGGGTGCATGGGTGCACAGGGCAGGAATAATACCTTCTGTAGTCTAGGGGTGGGGAGGAAGGGCTAGTTCAGGATTTTAAGGATGGCTTGAGACAGGAGTGACATCTGAACTGAGAGACCTGAAGGGAGAAGTAGGAGTTTTCCAGAAGGGGAAAAGATGAAACTGCATGAAGATCAGGACACAAAAGAAAACATAAGCAGTTAGAACTGAAAGTTCAAAGAACCCTAGCATGTTTCATAGGATGGGATCAGAGGAGAGAGTAGTGTCAGTCAAGTTTGCTAAGAACTATAACTGGAATAATTGCCAATGGAGATGGTTAGCTGTGGGGACTAGGGCTGGTAAGGTCGTGTGGGATTGGAGCCTGAAGCATTGTCCTGGCAAACCAGATTCACATGCTGGGGATTCCTCCTCTTAAGTTCAAATCTGCTTTGGCCCACGCATCCTTGGTTTCCCACCCCTGAATGTCTGTAAGATTTACTGTCATATTCTTACCATGAATTAGCCCCCTTTAATATAAGCTAGTACAAGAGACTTTCTATTTATTGCTACAGCTGAACTTCCAAATTCCAAGGGGCCTCTGGATATTAACTATCCTGTTTAGAGTGTTTGTCTGTTTGGGGGCAGTGTTGACAGACAAAAGCAATTTGTTTTTACTTTCTGTTTATAAAATGAGAGGAGATTTACACTGCTAGCATATTCACAAGAGCAGAAGCACTCTGTCTTGCTGCCTTTAGAAAAGAAAGGCTTAGGAAAGTGACTCTAACAACCAATCAATGATCTAATTGCAGGCAAAGTCTCTAAAAGGAAATAAGTAATAACCGGACCTTGCAAATAGAAGCTTCTATGACAGTGGGTTCTTAAGGGGGGGGGGACTTTCACCCTCCAGGGGACACTTAACAATATTGGGAGGTATTTTTGGTTGTTACAACTGAGGTGTCAGTAGAGGCCAGAAATGCTGCTAAATATTCCATAAAGCACTGGATAGGCAAGAATCAGCCAGCCTAAAATTTCTTTTT